GACGAGTCGCGGTCGTAGAGGTCGAAGGCGAACATGACGAGCTGCGTGCGCCCGAGCGTGCAGTACCTGCGGCGGCGCGCGTGGACGCGCCGGTCCGTGTCCGCTCATCGCGGGACGAGCGACGTGGGACGAGCGCGCCGCGCTCTCGACGCGCGCGCGCGTTCCGCGGATCGCGGCGCGCGTCGAACCGCGCGCGTCGGGCGCCGGCGCCGCGCTGCCAGAGCGTGACGACGAACTCGCGGAAGTCGATCTCGTTGGAGCCGTCCTCGTCGAAGATGGAGAAGACGCGCTTCGCGAACTTGGTCCGGTGGAGGTCGAGGTGGTCGAGCATCTCCCAGAGCTCGAGGCTCCCGCTGCCGTCCTTGTCGATCTTCAGGAACTGCGCGTGCAGCCGCGCGACGTCGGCCTCGTCGAGCCCCAGGCTCTCGAAGGTGTCGCGGAACTTGTTGACGCGGTTGTCGTGGTAGACGCGCGGGCCGAAGGTCCGCTTCAAAGTCAAGCCGACGTTCCGGGGCAGCAGGTCCATCAGCGCGTCGAGCAGCGGCATGGCCGCCGCATGCGCCGCGCGCCGTCGGTCGCGGTTGCGAGACGGAGCGCGGCGCGGCGCTCGACGCTGGCGTTGCTCAGTGGGGCTCCACGGCGGCGCGCACCGACGATGGTATGCTCTTCATCGTGTCATGCCTGTTGAGCGGATAAAAAAAGCTCGATTATGAACCCGCGTTGAACCCGTGTCGAACATTTATCCGCGGTCTCGCGCGCGCGCGCCTCCGACCGGCGCTCTCCGCGCGCGCGCCGACGCCGAACCGCGCGATGTCGTACCTGCTCCCGCACCTGCGCACGGGCTGGGCCGTCGACCAGGCGATCCTCAACGAGGAGGACCGCGTCGTGGTCATCCGGTTCGGCCACGACTACGACCCGGTCTGCATGCAGATGGACGAGGCCCTGTCGAAGATCGTCGAGAAGGTGAAGAACTTCGCCGTCATCTACCTCGTCGACATCACGGAGGTGCCCGACTTCAACACCATGCGCGCGCGCCGCGCCCGCCGCCGCGCGCGCCGCGCCGCCGCGCGCGAGGCCGCCGCCGCGCGCGCAGGTACGAGCTCTACGACCCGTGCACGGTCATGAACTTCTTCCGGAACAAGCACATCATGATCGACCTCGGCACGGGCAACAACAACAAAATCAACTGGGCGCTCACGAACTCGCAGGAGCTCATCGACCTCATCGAGACCGTGTACCGCGGCGCGCGCAAGGGCCGGGGCCTCGTCGTCTCGCCCAAGGACTACTCGACGAAGCGCGGCCCGGCGCCCCGATCGCGCGCGCCGCCCGCGCGGCGAATCGCGCGCGCCGCAGGTACCGGTATTAGGCCGCGCGCGCCTCGCCTAAGGAGAAGCCGCCCCACCGGAGAGCCGCGACGCCGCGACAAACGAGTGCCTTACATGCCCGCCTGCATCTGGACGTCGGCCGTCGCCGTCGTGCCGTGCTGGCAGAGGAGCTCGTAGGTCGCGTTGACGGCCTCGCGCTTGTCGTGCGAGTGGTCGCCCTGCATGCCGACGTACTGGAGCGCCGTCTCGTCGGCGCCGCCGTGGTTCGCGTCGAAGAAGAGGGCGACGTTCGTGACGCTGGCGAAGGCGTGGGGCGGGTGCAGATTCACGTAGGCCTCGCCGGGCGCGTTCGGCGGCAGCGCGGACTCGAAGGCCGGGCGGATGTCCTCGAGGGACTGGAAGTCCAGGTTCTCCCGGTTCACGTAGACCTTGACGTGGCTCGGGTGGGACTCCGGGTCGCCGGAGCCGATGACCATGAGGCGCCGGAGCGCGACGGGCGCCAAAAACGTGACCTTGACGAGGAGCTCCTCGTCGCCGTCGCTGGCGAAGCTGCCGTCGGTGTCGAGGCGCCGCACGAAGGGCCGCAGCACGCGCGCGGCGTCGGCGCCGTCCTGCGCGTTCAGCGCCTCCGCGCGGTCCACGTGCTGGTAGAGGTTCCAAGAGTCGTCGGGGTACTCGACGCTGTGCGAGTGGCCCGCGCCGCCGCCGGCGCCGCCGTGGCCGCCGCGGCCCATGGATGCGACGAAGCGGCGCGCGAGCGTCGAAGGTCGTGGGGTCGCTGCAGCGGCGGCGGCGGCGCAGCGGCGAGAAGGCCTCTGATGACAGCTCGATCGATCGATCGAGAGAGCTCCTCGAGCAGCGGCGTCGACGCGCGACGCGTCGCCCCACGACCACCATCGAGAGCGGTGCGGCCTCGCGCCGCCGGCGCCAAGGTGGCCCCGTTCGAGTGCTGTGGTTAGGCCCGGCGCGCCCCGGGCCCGCGGCCGCGCGCGCCGCGGCGCCGGCGGCCCGCGCGGCTCAGGGCCCCTCGACCAGTCTCAGGGCCTCGGTCATGAAGTCCTCGCCGTTCTTCTTCCAGTCGAGCGCGGCCTCGATGGCGGCGCGGAAGACCTTGACGACGTTCG